AAATTAACAAAAGCAAACAACAGCATCCCAAGGAATTGCACAATTCTATTTCCCAAAACCAATCATGAAAGAAGGAAAAACAGAAAGAAGAAAAGGTTTTTCTTAGCTAAACTTTTCACAAAAATAAGGATTATCATTTTTTCCATACCTGCATCAATGCCAACGGGCCCAAATATCTCTTTCAATTGGAGTGCCAGTTCCGGAGGCAATGTTAGCTCTAGACAGTCTATATTGAAGGCCACAGATGGGACTGGTGAAGGGGTTTCTATCTTGGCATCCCAAATTGGAGTTTCACTTTTTTCTTTACCAAATACCTCCCTGGATCTCTCTCGGGTTTCTTTATCAGATTCCAGTTCTTTATCATCTGTAGGATCCTTCCAAGATGTTTGATCCATTTTCAGTAACAAAGTAGCTGTATTATGTCCTTCGATATTCTCTGCACCACTTTCTGAAGGGTTACTGTAATTTTCATTATTTAATTTGATTTCTAAATTGGTAGGAGTTGTATGAAGACCATGAGGTGAAGTCACAGGTAGACATAAACCTACATCAAGCTGAGAAGCTGACTGCTTATTTTGTGTTTCCTCAGCAGTACTCATAGGCTGCCTATCTATTTTCTGCATTTCTGACATAGACTGTTCAGTGATATCTGCTGCTGAGGCAACGGCATCAATTCCAGGAGCTGCATCACTGGGATTTTTGTGTTCCGCTGAATCATTCATAGAGACAGTAGTTAATGAGTCAGATATATCAGCATCTGTCACAATTACTGTGGTGGTACTACCTTCTGCAATGCTGATCAATGAGTTCTTGTTCTCTGAACCCTCAAAAGTAGCTTCTTTCACAAATATTTGCTGGGTTTGTTGAGGATTTTGGGGATTCTCACCATAGCTTGCATTTGCCTTGAAATCAGGGTCTGCGGCAACAGCCTCAGCTTCCTTTACTTGCAAGCATTCTGTACTGACATCCTTGCATAGCTTTTCGTTAGAGTCTAACAGCAGACCAGTGACCCAGTCAATGTCTTTGTTGCATCTCTCATACAAATCTTTCAGAGCTTCAACTGAAAGAGACTCAAAGAGCTTGCAGAGCATATTTAACTTTTCAGACTCATCAATATTGATAAGCTCACTTTCCTCCACAAATGTACTTTTATCATACGTAACTCGATAGGGTATTTTTTCCTGGAAATCAGAAGCACTATCTACATTTTTGGGTCTGAAGCCATCTAGTCTGCCATGCAACACCTTGGTAGTCTCAGGAAAAATCATGTTCTTTTCTAGCCTCCACAGAAGAGCAAAATCCTGTGATTCAGTCTGTGAATGGCTACTTACTTGTCTACATGAGCATGTGTCATGTTTCTCTTCTGCAGTGTTAAGCACAGACAACTGCTCCTCTGCTCTGGGAGGAGGCAGATTATTGTTTGTAAAAGTGAGAGCTAATTTGTGATGTTTCCTTGTTCTTTTATTTTGTTGATTTTTTTTCTCGGTGGTTGTTTCACTAGCTACTGCTTCAGGTTGCTGAAAATGCAATTTCTTTGTATCCTGCAGCTCCAAGGTGTCCACAGGTGTCCCACGAAGCACATCTACTGTGTCAAGAGCATTTCTATTAATGTGATCTTTAGTACTTATACTATCATCTGATTGATTTAGACTTGTCTTCCTCACTCTCCTTGACCTTTGCTGTCTCTGTTCTAAAGAGCCTGACAGAGGCCAATGACCTACCATTTGTAATTCTGGTGCAATTTTATCTGAACTAACGGACAAATTTTCTTCCTCCAATCCTTTTTCAACAGTACAGGAATCAGGTAGGCCCACCTGCTCCCTATCTAATTCAAGAGGAGGCTGACTGGGAGTTTCGCCTTCCTTATCAGTCTTCAAAGATTTTTCTAATCTTCTAGGTCTTTTGACCCTCTGTCCCATTGTTTGTTCTATAGGCCAATCCCCCAGAAAGTTTAGTAACTCTGGCTTGCCTGACACATGCAAAACTGAACTGCTTGGTTCAACTACATTATTTCTTTGTGTTAATTCTGGC